AATTAGAGAACCCATGACAAATGGGATATCGGATCAGGTAGTGCTTAACTACTAAGTACCCAGGATTTTTTTTTTTCACTGTTCTATCATATCACCCAAAGAAGGAAGAGAACTTTGAATGCTCTTCCTGTGAATAATTAATGATTGATTTGCTATGCTTGGAATGTGTAATGGAGTGAATTCCAGAGAATGTGCCTATCCTTGGTGGTGGGCAAGAGAAAATGCACGGATCTTTCACAAGAAAATAGCTCTGATTGGATATTTTGCTAATGACGTGAGTACCGTCATAGGTTTAAATCCTGCTCTGAAATTCAACCCAAAGTAACAACTCTATTTTAATAGATAGGCAAAGATACAGACTAAGAAAATACTACCTTATCAAGTGTGTATTCATAAAAACAACATATCTGCCTCTGCAGGAGTAGTCTTTGGCAATAATTCTCATTCTCTCTCTGATGTTCATTAGATTATATGAACTTGGATGAATCAATAGACTGCAAAATAACTCAAAAAGCTGTTTTCAAGATTAAATAAATTCAAAGATGTCAGACATTTAGCATTGTGTCTGGAATAGCAAAGCTGTTCCTTAATTGATGGTTTTCTTTCTTTTCTCTCTTCTCCATATGTAGCATTTTAAACATATTTTGTACACCACTTGGAATTCTATATAAGCTTTGGGAAATAGACTTTAATATGGACGCTTTAGGAGCACTATGAAAGAATTTACCCCAGTTATAAACCCCATTTACATGGTTAACAAGAGCGTATCACGTTGTGTAAAAACCTGGGCCAATGTTCTTTTGTAGGTCTTGAGGCTAGTTAAGTATTCTCTGCACTGAAACACATTGCTCCGTTTCATGTGATCAGTGATCAGAGGTTACAACAAGTATGTAGAGCACTTTAAGAATCTTGAGAAGTCATGGGCACCAAAAGAAATTATTGTCTGTATTACCTTCCTTCAAATAATGCACTTAGAATGAAAGTACATCTGGATGGATTCCAACAAGGGGGAAAAAAACCTGTGAAATGAGGATTCTGTCAACTCGTCTAGGAATTTTGTGTGTATACTAAATGGAACTTTGTGCCATATACTTGGCACGAAAAACTGAAGTGTATAATGGAAAAAAGAAAAAGGATTCTTCAGACTTTTTTTTTTTCCCCTGGGAAGAAAGGGATGCAATTGTGTACTTTCAAAGTTCTAATCACGCTGGTTAAATGATAACATTTTTAAAGGGCTATGTTGGGACCAATGTGGATGTCTCTGGTTTTGGTCAAGACTTATGTACAAGATCATTTAAAAGAACTGCTTCCTAATATTGTGAAGTATTCCCCAGTCCTTCAAACCGGTCCACAAGCCAAGAATCCATCCATGTGTTGATGACATTCAAAGGAAAGGAATATCCTAGATGTGATGGTTGGGATGACACTCAGTAGCCTCCATATTTATTTCTAACCTTCATTACTTACATCCTGCCTCCCACCAAGAAGAGTAAAAAGGCCTGAAATTTGCATCCCAGCCTCCCTTTGGGCTAGTGCATGGGCCTGTGACCCAATTCTGGCCAGTGATTTTGAAGAAGTACTCCGGGGGTAGAAATCACCAGGAAAGATTTTTCCTCTGGTTAAAAAGATATGTACAACACAAAACTGCTCTTTCTTTTTTACTCTGAAGGTAATTATGTGAAGACATAATGGAGATATGTAATGTAATGTGAAGACATAATTACAAATGGAGATGCACCAGCCACTTTATAATCAGAGAAACAAACCTGAAAGGGAAGGCCAACACACCCAGGATGACATCCCAGCAGAAGAATGACAGGAACACTGGGTCCTTGATCACCTCATTTTCGTTCTGGACCTCTTGTTAAGTAAATCCATAAATATCTTTATCACTTGTACTATTTAATTGAGGTATGCCTTACTTGTGGCCTAAAGCACAATTGATATACTAGTTCTTGCCAGAGGATGAAAAAGTATTCCAATCAAGGCTGATAAAGCTTTAAAAAAGAATAAAGGACTCTCTGTGTGATATGACTAAAAATCTACTGAAACAGATACCCCTCCCATTTTACATTCTTCATCCAAAATTCCCACTAATAGAGACTTGATGATATACATTCACTACACAAATTTTGACTTCCTTTTATGCATAGCACTTGTCCGATAAATGTAAATACTAAAACGTATTCATCATTTATCTGAAATTCAAATTTAATCGAATGTCCTGTGTTTGTATTTGTGAATCTGGCAACACGTGCCATGCCCTATGGCAGGCTCTCCATAATTCAAAGAATGCATCTCCTTCAGAACCTTTAGCTGATTCTAATGTGTGATCTGGGTAGAAGTCCACTGCCTTAGAAACTCTCTCTTTCAACTCCACATTCTACACACCAAGAATCTGAAGCCTGAAGAGATCCTGGGATTTCCCCAAAGGCACAAAGCTGCGCACAGGCAAAGGTGGAAATGGGACCCACATTTCAGGATTTTTGCTAGTACCCCTTTTTTTTTCAGTTGCCTTTTCACTCCTGCTCCTAAAGTCTCTTGGTTTTAAAATGAACTGGGGAACTAACGAACTAACGCTGTTTGACTCAGTAGAGGGAAGGAAGCTTATCATATAAAAGGTTTAATTTCCTTTGATGAGGAAGAGGAATGCATCTTAGTCACTTTCTTACACAGAAGAGCATTTTGGATAAGAAAACAAAGAATTGTGGAGAAAGAAAATCCTGTTCAAATCCATAGAAATACTTTCTTAAAAAGAAAATTTGCCAAATATTCTTTCATATAGGTGATATACATGTTTGCATATATATAGATATATCTCATATGTATATATACATGTCATGCATACATTTATATGTCAGATATATATACAGCTTATTACATGGAGCTCATATAGGTGATATGTAATTCAAAGTTACACAATGGCTTGCTGTATTTTGCAGCTATCACTGCAGAAATCTTCCCTCTGTTTCTTCACAGGTATCCTTGCTAACATTTTGATCAAAACTGCTAAGTCCCTAGCTTCTGTAAACAATGAACTTTACTTGGAATTTATTTAAAGATTATTATGGTGACTTGCCCATGGAAGAGCCATTATTTTTTTTTTCCAATGGGCAACACAGAATTTAAAGCTCTTTGGATAAACTGCTGTGTATCACATTTCCAATTCCTAGACCTTCAGAACAGAAGGCTCAAAGTTTTGTCTAGAAACTTTTCCTTTTTAGCTAATCCAATTCTTTCATTTTGCACTGTTAGTCCAAATGATGCGATTCTGTCACTAGAGAAGACAGAGGCCAAATTAAGTCAATTCTCTGTAGAAGATCTTAATCTAGCATACATTGCTTATCAATCTGCCTTTCTGGTGTTTCTTGGAAGTCAAATCCGATTATCCCAAATGCAAATAATAAGGCAAATTTCACTTTATTAAAAAATCATCCCAAACACATTCTTACAGTATCAGACTTAATTTAAAAAAAAAAAATACATGAAATTTCAGAATAGGATAGGTTCAGATGATTTTTGGAATTCCTTATAAGGGAATGTGACCCCAAATCTCAGTTCTTTAGGTCAAAGCATCCTCAACCACTACATCCAATTATGATGCACTTAGACTTTGAGGTCTATCAAGTTAACCATCCAAGTGGTTCCATCTGTTTTCATGGAACGTCCAGATAGGAGAGAAGCACAGAGTACCATATCACAAATAACAACTTTCTATTTCAAGTGACTCTACCACAGCCAGGGAGTCATGAAAACCAAAAGAAGCTCCTATTGGAAATAATAAATAATTTTTTTTAAAAGATTGGGCACATCAGCTTCAACCTTTCCAATTATTTATTCAGCATTTTAAGTGATTCTTCTCTGCTCCACTTCCAAGCTACCTACATTTTGGTCTCTTTCTAAAATTCAAACCTATTCTCCACAGATAAAACTTGTCACCTCTGAGAAGAGTCAACATTTATTTTATTGCATACATTCTGTTATGCTTGTCGATTTTTCTATGAATCACATTACCTTTTAGTCTCACCTGTGAGAATATTATTCCATAAGAATTTCTGTAATTGAAATGTTAAACTTACACCCTCGAGACTTCTACCTGCAGGATGGTGGATCCTGTCTCACCTGTCTGGACATGTTGTACTGAGCTGAGGTCACACTTACGCAAATGACATTCCAAACATTCTTCTCCCACTAAATTAAAAGGGGCAGTTCAAGCTTCTCTCTCTCCCATTGGTTAGGGATTCTGACACAGGGACTCAGCAAGCTCGGCAGTCCTAAAATGGAGCTATTGTTAGCCACATGACCTGTGTGAGGGCATGAATCCTTCTCTCCTACCTCCTGCCCCACTGCCCCTTAGTCAGCACGAATCACGATTCAACACTTGAAAACTAGGCAACTGACTGAAAATGTTCTACTTGAACTTTGACTGATTTCAGAAGGGTGGCATGTCTTAAAATGTTGACCATTTACTGATTAACTGAGAAGACAGAATTCCCCCAAACTGTAGCTAGTCTGAAGCTAAAATCTTAACACAGAAAAACTGAATAAGGAAACATACTCTCGTAAGATCCCTGCCATCTATAAACTTTTCTATTAGACCTTGGCTGTAGATAAATGCGATTACTATACATTATGTCTTTGAGGAATTTCTTCTTCCCCAAGACTCCTTGCCATTGGAAATTGGTTCCTTCCTTATCAGACATGTCCCTGTATCAAAATCATAAAATAATTGCTGATGAAAGGTCTATTGTTTCATAGTTGTAAAGCCATCCCTTTCATACCTATTAGGCAATCTTCTCAAGCATGTGATAATAACAATAAAGTATGACTGAGGACAAGACATGAGCTGTGCTTACAGCCAATGGTAAAAGTGTGTCTAATGGAGACAGGATTTCCATCCATGATTCCAAACGGCACCCATATACCACTCTCTTTTACTCTGAACAGTATGAGCTGCCAGCTTGGAGGTTTTCTTTCTTTCTCAAAAGAGTAGAAAAATAAAAGTGTTTTGTTCTTTAATACGCTATAGGAGTGAATAAAGGTATACTGGAGGAGGTGGGGATGTGTGGAGAGGATAAATCAAAGTATAGAGAAAACAGTAGAATAAAACAGAAAAGCCAGTGTTTGTTTAGAATGGGTAAATGCTACTCTCAGAGGCCCGAGGTAAAAGTCCCAGCTGCACATTCAGTTACTTTCTGTCACAAGAATTAATAAGAATGAACATAAGAATTAATAATCATCATAATATTTGTTATAATTACTATCTAAATTCCATCGATCTAAGTGTTCTATTGTCAAAAGCAAGCCCAAATTGATGACAGAATAAGTATCCTTCTCTGAGTTAAACCTAAAATTATTTTGGCATTGTCAAACTACTCAGCTTCCTTTCAAATCCATGTTTAATACAAAAAAAAAAAAAGTAAAAGAAAAAAAATCCATGTTTAATCCTGTCATTGATATACTTATCTAAGCTCTTTTGGAATCCACTTATCTCACAAAGAGTTCAGGTAATTCAATTGAGAACAAAGATATGTTTAGCTTTTTTGATAAAAATTTCTCACTGATATTTTGTTGTTCTCAGAGTGTATGTATACTGTCCATTTGCCATAGCTGAATTATTTTCCTTACAGAGATGATTACTTTCAAGTGAGAGCTAAACATTGTCTCTAGATAGCTTTATGTTGCTGCTACCTTTAGTTTATATTCAAACAAAAGGAACAAATAACTTTCCTAAAGATAGTGCTACTATCACTAACTTCCATTTACTAATATCTTTCCTTAACTAATTAGTATTTAACTGGTGAATAAATACCTAGTTAAAACAATTACAATAGGCTCATAATGCCATCTAGTGGACAATCTTCAAAATATCGTCCCATGGGCCATTTTCTTTCTATCCTTCAAAATGTCATCATTATTCTTGAAGAAGTAATCCAAACTACTAGCTAAGGATTATTGGTTAGTATCGCTGAACCCTCAGACAGAGCCATGATAGCATTTCCAACACTGGTGAAGTCTTAGGGAAAATTAACTTACCATCTTGTGTGCCTCCGCTCCTTATCTGTTCAATGGATGGAGCCAATGCCACTGGGAAAAAGGAGAGTTGCCCCAGTAGTAATCCAATGTACTGAGTTCATCCTCAGTAACAGTATCTTAGGTAGCTCCTGCTTCTCATCTGGAAGATAAAAGCATAATCTCTGTTGGCTTGAATATAAATTATATATATAACTTTTTTATATAAAAATTTTACAATTTCATCTAATCTTAACAGCGACTTTGTGAATATGGGGGAATGTACTCATATTACACTTGAAGGAATTAAAGTTATTGAAAAGTGGGGCACTTGGGTGGCTCAGTCAGTTAAGGTTCTGATTCTTGATTTGGCTCAGGTCATGATCTCATGGTTTGTGGGTTCAAGCCCCGCCATCAGGCTCTGTGCTGGCAGTGCAGAGCCTGCTTGGGACTCTTTCTCTCTCTCCCTCTCTCTCTGCCCCTCCCCTGCTCATGATCTCTCTCTCTCTCTCTCTCTCTCTCTCTCTCTCTCAAAATAGATAAATAAACATTAAAAAAAATTGTAAATAAAGTTAATGAAAAGTAAGTGACTTGACCAGAGTCAAATACCTACAGAAAGCTCAAATTCAATCACAGATTTTCAAAATCTCAATGACTCTTTCAATAAGCCAGCAGTATATTAGAAGAGTGGCTTTTTATGACAAAGGAGACCTTTTCTCAGAAATGAAGGTTAAATACATGCTTATCTATTAACGTGATTGATTCACAACTTTAGCAGACACAAAAGGAAAAATATGTGGTTATCTCAACAGATGCTTAAAAAGCATTTGATCAAATCCAACTCACATTCTCAATGATAACAGAAGTCTTAAAAGGTAGGAAGAGAATGCTTCCATAGCTTGATAAAGATTACATATAAGAATCCTACCATTATCGTCATATTTAATGGTGAAACATCATAATTCTTTCCAATTACATTCAGTAGTAAGGCTAGTGTTTCTGCTATTATTGCTTTAATTCATCAATGTACTTGAAGCCTGAGGCTATGCCATAAGACAAGATAAAGATATAATATATTGGTTGTTTGCCATGAAAACCCAAAAGAATTTTAAAAAATCAGAATTTATAAAATAGTTATGAAACAGTGCCAGATGCAAGGTAAACATAAAGTAATAACCTTCCTATACAATTAGAAAATGTAATAGCAAAAAAAAAAACAATGACATGTATAACAGGAAAATAAAAACACACAGAAAGCAAATAAAACAAAGTGAACAAACTGAAAATACTTAGAGTAAACCAAATGAGAAATGTGCAAGGTTTATATAAATAGGAGTTGATTTTACTGAACGCTTTTTTAGCATCTATTGATATGATTATATATTTTTTTTAATTTTGGATTTGCTTATGCAAATGTAGGGAAGTTTTATGACTATATACAATTTTGAAATGGAATACCATATAAATTTTACAAGAAACAGACTGAGAAAAGTATTTGCAACTATTTAGTTCAAATATAATTTCTTCAAAGAAGCCACCTTTTATATCCCTATCTTCATGATATTTCTTCATTATTCCCTATTATTATTCTCATTATTCAGAATCTTACTTTGGAATAATACGTTAATTACTGTGATTATTCTGTTAATTTTTCAGTCAATCTCTCCTCCTTTAGGAAAATATGAGTTCCATGAAAACATGAATCCTGTTTTTCTCACCAAGCACATATTTTAGAAAATAACGGGCTCAATAAGTGTTCGTTAAGTGAATAAATGAAAATAAATCTATGTAGAACAATTACAATTAAGAAGAAAAAATAAAGAACTCCACAAGCATATGAAAAGACTATGAACATGTAATTCCTAGAAGAAGGATATCAACCAATAAACCCATGAAAAACTTTTGTCTCAATATAAGAGAAATAACATTTTTAGATCTCTTCATTTCTTTCCTGGCATCTCATGATCCCAGAAAAGGGACTGGTTAGGCAAATGACAATGTTGTAGAAAGGAAGTGAATTACCATGTAAAGAAAGCAGTCAGATAAGAAAAGAAATGGAATGGAATGCCCATTTTTGCCATTCCCATGTGGTAAGGCAGGAGTAGACTAGACAGGAGGAAGCAAGCCCCAGAAAAGTATGTTATACTGAAATCCTATTGAAATCCCAGAAGTCATAATGCTAGTTTAGCTGAAAAGTAGAACTAAAGCAGAAGAGCTTTTGTGTCCCATACACAATTTGGAAATCTATATATGGTGGTAATAAGGGCAGGTCAAGTGTAATGGGGAATATTTTCTCACAAGGCAATATTGCTTGATCATATCAGAGTTCAAATAGTTACAGAGATAGAGACAGAGACAGAGACAGAGAAACAGAGCACCAGAGTTACAACACTGAATTACCCTCTGATCCCATGAGACTAGGAAATCTTACAGATGTGCTGACATAGTTGTAAAAGGTTGTTGATAAGGCACGTTGGAGATCTTGATGGTATGGGTTGGAGTTGTTTTGGCCAGAAGGGAGTTCTGGGTTGCAAGGCAACAACCCAGGGCAGGGATCTCTTGGGGGATCTCAGAAAACCTCGGGAATATTGATTAAGTTCCAGGCAGAGCTGTGGTGGGGCTGAATTATCTGTGAAGAAGTACAGACCATGACAAAATCAAGAAAACAGACTACATGCATTCATGAGTTGCCAAATTCATCCTCAGTCCATGAGTCAGAGTAGTCAGTCCTAAGCAGAGATCAGTGAGAATTTAGAAGATAATGCAAGGGTCCAAAGACCTTTCTCTCCACTACTGTGAGGTTGGGTAAGCCTATCTCTGTAGCTTTTATTTACGGAAAACTATCTTTCGTCAGAGAAGGGGAACGAGGAAAAATAGCCCTGCTAGAGACTTAACATTTTAATTTCCCAGGTAACTGTTACCTAAAATTAGAATGTCTTCAACCAGAAAATACATTAATTTGCAAATTTGAGTTAGGTTTCTCATAAGGAACATAAAATATGTTATAGAAAATAAAGGAGTATAAAGAGAAGTGACATTATTATATTATATTTCACCCAGCAGATTGGCAAAGATGAAAAAGATTGTTATTATTTGTTGTTGGTTAAAGTGCAAAGAAACAGGTAATCTAAAATACTCAGTTGGAAGTAATGTACATTGCAAAGTGTTTCTGAGGGCAGTTTGACACTATTGACCCCAATTTAAATAATATACCCCACATCCAGCAATTCCATTTCTGGATATCAAATTCAATTATTAGAAAATCTGCATCAGAAAAATCTACATTAGAAAATCTACAAATTAAGATTAGAAAATCTTAAATTGAATTAGATAATAAGAATAACTTATTGGCACAATCAAGGACAAGTCCACAGATAGTTCAGGCTTCAGGCAGGGTACAATCAAGACTCTAAAATTGTTTCCTTCCAAGTACCAGCTTTCTATTTGTTCTGGTGTTCCTAATCTTCAAAAAATGGGTACAAGCAGAAACCAGGATTACCAGCTTCTTCATTTACATCCAGGGGAGAGAAAGTGTTTCTCCATTCAAAAAGGAACAAAAAAAATTTTTTTTTAAGTTTATTTTGAGAGAGACAAAGATAGCACAAATGGGGGAGGGTCAGAAGGGGAGATAGAGAATCCCAAGAAGGCTCAACGCTGCCAGCATGGAGCCTGATGCAGGGTTCGAACTCATGAAACTATGAGATCATGATCTGAGCCGAAACCAAGAGTCAGATGCTTAACTGACTGACCCATTCAGGTGCCCCAAAAAAGAATAAAATTCTTGACCCTACTCCACTTGGACCATTTTAGGCTACATAGGTGTCTCAGTAGCAATCACTTAGCATAAGAAAAGGAGGATCCTGATAGGCTAAGCCAAATTAAAACTGACCCAAAGGGTTAGAAGTAGAGTCAACCCTACCAATAATACATGGCTGCTATAAAAAGTACATTTGAATATGTACCTACATATGAATAGTGGGATGCTATTTTGAGATATTAAGCTATTTCCCCCCATTGTTTCTGTACCCCACTGACCTTCTCCCTGCCTAGGCTGCTAGGGCATCTCATCTTCACTGCCACAAGGGAGGAACGATGTGACAGAGCACAGGCTAAAAGAGTGAAATCTTCTTGGCTTTTGAGTTCAGAAAATTTGGTGGAACATGATTAGCTAGAGAAATATTCCTCCTGAAGTGGGAGAATAGAAGTATCAGAGAAACGAGGTAACCAGGTTACATATTCGTTGAGACAAGAACCTTTCGCCACATCAGAGCTGAAGGAGAGAGGAGAACAGAAATGATAGACACTCTAGCAATAACTGAGGAATTCAAGAGCAGAGTAATCCTGGTCTACTTTCTACAGACCTTCCCAAGTAGTTCCCAAGGCAAGTCCACTGAGCTCCCCCTGATTCAAGAGGGTGCTGGAAATGCTTGGGTGGTAAAGGGCCGTAAGGAACTCCACCTGAGTTCCTGCTGCATCCCAAGGGATGCTCAGGAATTGTGGAATGATTTTAAATCTGCTTTTGAGGAATGCAGGAGTACCTAAGACAGACCCAGATCTGGAGAGGCCTAGCTGTCAGTAACAGTAATCCTTATAAATAAGGATTAGATGGAGCATGGATATCTTTGGATGGAGGTCCTTATAGGTCCCCATAATGTAGTACCGGGGATCCTCTGTGGAACCTACATACACCTCAAGAAAAGGTGTCAAGAAAATGTGGAATTAAAAAAAGAATGTTTCTGCCATCCTAAAAACCACGACCCATTAAGTTCAGTTATAGAAAAAAAAAATGTATGGGGCACTTGGGTGGCTCAGTCGGTTGAGCGTCCGACTTCGGCTCAGATAATAATCTCACGGTTCCTGAGTTCGAGCCCTGCAACGGGCTCTGTGCTGACAGCTCAGAGCCTGGAGCCCGCTTCAGATTCTGTGTCCCCCTCTTTCTCTGCCCCACCCCTGCTTGTGCTCTGTCTCTGTCTTTCAAAAATGAATAAACATCAAAAAAATTTTTTAAAAAATGGACACTTCATGGAGTAAGACTCACACCTGCTACTTATGCATGTGAATGAACATGCAAATGATCGGATAAAGTTCTGGACAGATAAATGAACAAAGGTTTACAGAGGCAGGGATGTCTCATATAATTGTACCATTCACATAGATATTTTG